GAAAAAAACGTTCATTATTGCTGCAACATTTCAATAAAGTGCATACGAATTTTTCTTGAAAAAAGTTGTAATTGTAAAGGTTTTTATGAACATTTGTAAAGTGTGCAACGTATTAATGTGAATATGTAGTTGAAGTGTTTTTTAAATGGCTGTATTTTTATTCTTTTACAACGTTACCAATTATACACCGAAGTTTTTAGAAAACAGAATCTGAGGTAACGTATATTGTTTAATGGTTTTGTGTCAGTAAATATTATCTACACGCGAAAATTTTTTTTGTAATCTCACTAATTGTATATAATTTTTAAGTAATTGTATATAAATTTTTTAAACAGTTTGTACTGAAGAGGGACTTAAATTACAATTGAGTCCGAAATGCATATGACAAATCAATAAAGGAAGTTCATAACCTGAATGCTGTATATGATAGTCTACCGAACTGAAAATCGGATTAAAGAGACAAATTCACAAAGAACATCTATTGTTTAAAATGTTCCACACGAAGCCAAATTCAATGTAAAATTCATATCGGGATTACAATAAAATAGAATAAAATAATAAAACTATACAGATTAGATAATAAAAAACAAAAAATTACGATGTACGCTTACTGCCGGCCCGAGCTAACTCGGTGCCCCAGGCAAATGACTTTGACGTCGCCCCATTTAAAAAGAATTCGCAACAATATAAAACACCAATGTAAAATAGAGTATCTATTTTACACCCGCTAGTCGCCATTTTGAAAGTAGCGCCGTAGTCTCACGATCGCGATATTGCGTGCTGCATATTGAATAACAATAATATAACAATATAAAACATCAATGTAGAGTATCTATTTTACATTGGTGTTTTAAATTGTTATATTATTTTTATTCAATATGCAGCACGCAATATCGCGATCGTGAGACTACGGCGCTACTTTCAAAATGGCGACTAGCGGGTCAACATGTGAGAAAGAATTGTGATAAAAAAACATTTATTTTTTCATTATTTATTGCGAATTCGAGCGCCCTAGGCCATTGTCTAGTTCGCCTATATGAACGGGCCGGCCCTGTGTACGCAGATCATTTTACATTCTAGTTATTACAAGAAGTGACTGATGATCTATCAATCTAGAAGAAAAACTTTTTTCATTAAACTGAATTTGCTAGAATATGAAAAGAGGTTTCTTTTTATTACACGATACCAAAGTAGTAGTAAAGGACAAAGACGAAGAAGAAACGGAGAGAGTTCCACCTAAAAATATGACGTAAATCCATATTTAAAAGTTATAGTCTGGGCAATTCAACTTTATTTTATTGTAGACATAGTATGTCACATGGAGTAATTTGAGGGGTTATATCTCACAAAGGGTCACACGCAGAGGGTTTGGTTCCTTCGACCTTTTCTACGTTCCTACGGGTATGGTCTACAGCTGTGTTAAGGTCCCAACCATCTCCGAATTGAGCCGTTTTAAAACGATAATAATTTAAATCAAATATCGAATGACTCTAGTTCCGAACTCGGTAAAGAAAACGAGACACGCGATAGATTCTGTCAAATAGCGGGTCCGGATTACGATGCTGGCGAAAAACACTTTCGCCGGAAGTCGAAGAGGAAGTAATGGCTATCTATTGAAAACACGTTCTTCTAAAAATAAACGTCGATTCGTTACGTATCCAATAAATAACTATCGAATCGTAGCGCGTCAAACATTCGTCGACTTTAAATGTCCAGCGCTTTTATCATTTTTCGTCACCGAATTTTCGCACCTTCGTGACGTCCCGATTTTCTCCGTTGTCATCGCCGTAATCGGGCATTCATTTTTACGAAAAACGAAAGTATTTCTTTAATGATAATAGTCCGTTTTTATACATAAATTTTCTGACCACCTGAAATTTTTTTCGCCGATTTTTACGTATTCAAACTTTTTTTTTCTTCGTCCAAAATCGTGGAAATTGCCTTGCCTTTAAAGTAAAGATAATTAGGTCATTATTAGGTACTCCCTTTTATAGGCATTTCTCCAAGATCATACTTTTATCGCATCTTGAAAATCTACTACATAAAGATTTTAATCGTTTTACATGCCTTTGTAAACGAATACTTTATAATTCTTAGTGTTTAATATTTTTGTTCTATTATCTTATTTCCTTTTTTTTTATGTTTTCTATATTTTCTATTTACGCTTGTATCTTTATATGTTATTTTATTTTATTTATCTGTGTTATATTGTTAATCGGGGAGTGAAATATTTTGTCATATACATGACATTTCAATTTGTAAAGAAAACAAATAAATAAATATACAATTTTAAGTTAAACGAGCAATTTCGATTAGCGTTAAACATTTCCGACGATAAAAACTGATTCGGCACTTTACGACAATTTGGAAAATGTAAAGGACTTTAAATCGATACAGATGCGAATTATCGGGAAATAAATATAAAATAAATCATAATTTATATACTGAAATTGAAACTCGAAAATTACGTAATATCTATTTTGTACAAATAACTTTCCTTTAAAGTTAATTCCATTAGTTTTCGCGACTAACTCCGCTTACTCTTTCCAAAGTTTACAGACAAGTTTTAATATTTCTCAAAAATATAGGATATTCGACAAACTATGACTTTAGAAACGTTAAAAATTACGTCGAGTGAACTTTACTTATAAAATTTCTGAACAACCAATGGATCTAAAATATACTTCAATTATGCGAGAATTTTGATATAAGAAACGGCTAAAACAGCATTTCGTATGCCGAATAAAAATAAATGAAAAGATGAATATCGTATAAATGTTAATCGATACGGAAAAAATAGTTTTAGCATATCTTATTAAATAGTAAATATTTAATTCAAATTTATTTAAATTATTTTGGACGTATTTGCATTTTATTAGGTTTAATTGTTCGTATTAAACCATTTAAGCATAAGTTACTAGTGTTTTGGTCGAATTGCGTATTTATTTCATCTATTAATATACTGAAATAATAGCAAAATACGATACGACAAATGTATTAAAACAATAACAAATTGCCGTTTATATACAGAAACTTGGTTATTCAATAGTGGGTGTAACCGCCGACCGTCTTTGCCAGCCCGGGCTTTAAATACCGCTACTATTTTTGTCCATTTCTTTTTTCAATAAATACGTCGAAATTGCCATCCACCAATCACAAATTTAAAACAGGAAGAGGTATAAAATTTGTAAAATGTATATTTCCCAACTTCAACCAAAGAATAGTTATAAAAATGAAATACAATATAAATGACTGTAGCTAATTCTAGCCGAATATTTTCCATTATCTGTTCTAGAATGTTTAATCGCATCGAGTTCTATTTCTTACCGTTTCCTTCATTTATTTATATGCATTTAACCGCTAGAATTTATTAATTTTGGGTTTTAGGTCTAGCTTTAAAAATGATGTATTTTCTATTACCAAGAGTTAAATAATCCCTTTTAATATTAATTTTTTTCTACCGAGGAGTAATTTTCTTGGCGCTCCACCGGGGTGTTACCGAACACCATCCACTGCCTACAACAAATCGAAGATGAAGTCAACTTCGGGATGATATACGATGTAGGTTATTTGACATTTAATTTATTTTTTTTCTTTTGTATATAAAATTCGAGCGCCCTTTAGGAGTCGAATTTGGAGACTCGCGAAATATAATTCTGAAAGAAATATTTTATAGGCTTTTTTATACGGGATATTTATTCTGGAGATTTGTTGTCTGTCACTTCCTCGTTAACCATTTGTAATTTCAACAACCGGTTATATTTTCTCAGATACTTGATTTTCATTGCGATAATTTAACCACAATGCAGCATTGATGACACTAATCCAGCTGTGTAATTTCAAATGCTGCTATTAAACTGTCTTAGATTTTCAAATAAATAATAGTCATTATTTATTTCATCTGTAACACTAATACGTGTTTGGAATAACTGATGAATAAATAAAAACGCATATTTTCTCAACCCACGGCATGAATTCTTTAGTAAGGATATTATTTAAAATTTATCTATACAGATTAATCTTCGTCTGGATTTGGTCTTCGGACACCGATTTAAACTGCATTTTGTCCGAGCGAGAATACAAATAAACTGAAATTTTTATAGTTTATTAGTTTATATTATTTTAAAATATTAAATCTACCGAATGAGTGTACGCTTAGCTTAAAAGTTCGTTGTACCCTACTTATAGAAAATAATAATAGTTGGCTTAAGTGAAACTAAATTATTTATTACAGTAATAATCCTATCTAATTATATTGTAATGTAGTTAAATTAAACAACGAGCGAATGATCAATTTTGACGGCTTAAATTACCGACGATTATACTTTTATCAATTACAATTTAAATGCGTGACACGTTCGATTCAAATTTTATTAGTAACTTATTTCCCCTCCTTTGATAGGTGAAAAATAACAATAGAAACTCTCGTCTAAAAAATTATTCCGAATCACTTATATTGTATTATCGTCGACCTTGATTTATAGATTGTCAGCACTTTGCGTGTGACGTAAGTGTAAGTAAATACGACTGATAACTTAATGGTGGTGCGAATAGACCTAAATGTCATTGATCATATTACGTTAGCGTATACAGTAACTTTTATTAATCCAGATAGATTTTTCATCTTTAAATTTCAATAAATAAATACTTACAAATATCTCAATTCTTTCAGACCGTTAAAAGCTTCGTTTTCTATTTTTGTTATGTGATTGTTATTCAGTAATCTAAAACAGAAAAATAAATAAAAGTAAATTAAACTTATTATATAAATTAACTATATTTTAAAATCGAAACGTGCAGCGGTTTTCATTTCTATTCGTTTTATTTAGATTTACTGTTAAATAATGATAAGAGTTGGAAATAAAAACAAATATATTTTGTCATATAATACATATATATATATATATAATTATATGTCTAGTCATACAGTGAGTTGCGAATATGATGGTACGATTTTCTAGATCAACTAAGCGATTTCTTGGCATATATTGTCCTTGTTCGACCAACACGATCGGAGTAAGTATACTCACCATCGAAAGGCGAAACTAGATTTGGATAATCATTTATAGCTAAATATATAAAATATGCGTTTGAAATTATAAGAGTATATTCCGATGCTTAATTAATTTCATTCGTCTGTAAAGTTCCGATTATAAAGTTATAATGTCTGTTAGAGATACGGTTAAAGAAGTTGAATAACAGTTAATTACAAAAGCAAAAACTGAATATTTTAAGAATGTACAGTACTATGATATAATAATAAGACCAAAAAAAATATCTAACAATAAAATCACTTATTTAATGAGAAACTTTTGATAAAATGATACGACGATGATGATGTATATTTCTTAATATTACAAAAAAGATTGTTTAATAATTCCCATTTTCCTGTAATTAGTATGAAAAACACTAATTTAAAAAACATGGGCCTATATTTTAATAACTTTTATCGTTTGTCTGCTTAAATATTTTTAACGAAAAAATTAAATCGATGAATATATTTTATTCGGAGCCCGTTTCATTAAGCTGTAATTTAAAAAATTGTAGACCTATAAATTTCCACTGCCGTCCGTCCGTCCGTCTTCCCTTCATCTCGAGAACGGAGTTAGATGAAATCCGAGATAAGAGATGGAAAACGTAAGGGCGAGAGGCCCCAATTAACTATATAAGAACTTTCCATGTAAACTGGAAATCACGTTATTTTAATTCAAAAATTTCCTCCCGTAAGGCGTTACATAGACGACCGGCGCGACTCTATTGTTAAAGGAAAAGTACGATGTAGAGGGGCGAGCCAATACTAATTTGAGTTGGAGAGCATATATTTAAATTTAAATAAATGAAAAATAAGATTAAAAATTGCAGCCCGGCATTGTGACCGTATGACAATAAATAATTGCTCGTTATTTTAGTAAAATATTTATTGTATATAATTTTGACTAAAAAGTGTACCAAATCATAATAATAACAAAACAAAATCCTAGTGAATTTGACGAAAGCCGTTACTTTATAGTCATTTGATATCGAAAGACTACTTAAAGCAATTTATTCAATTCTCAACTAACTCAAAAGATTCATTTTGGATTTACAACTTACGAACTTGATATTTAAGATCGTTCAATTAAATTAAATATTTCATCTCAAACGACAATTAATTATCATTTAACGAAATAAATTTATCTGTAAATATAGTTAAAAAACTAAACTGTATATAATTTAAGTGCATAATCTCCGTATGAGAATTGATGTAATGCGAAGCGTTTTGATGGCGTTAGTCGATAGGTACGAATGTACTTAAGTTCTCCGATATATTACGAAAAAAATGAATGGAATACATATAGCTTAATATTAATATAAATAAAAAACAACTTGACTGTAATGAAATGTTTTGCAAATTTTATTTCATACTTAATAATTTTCGAATTTGAAAAAGTTTATACTTACAGGGTGTTCAAATTCTTTAATTTTTCGAAAGTATTTGGAGGAATAGCTTTGATTTTATTGAATCGTAAATCTCTGTAAAAAAGAAAAAGAAAAAATTCGTAAAATGTTATATTTACACTGTAAAAAATGCTAATAAAATATAGATAAAAATACTAACGAAGCATATCCAGAAATATTTTTAACATTATATTGACGATAATTTATTGGTATTAATAAAATTAATTAAAAATCTCTAGGTCTATGAGTGCTAAGACAGAATTTTTTTCATTAGATCTAAATCTTTGGAGAAGAATTAAACTTACATTTATTAATAAACTAATTTTATCAACACTCTTGTTTTAGTTTTTCGATTTCAAATCGAACTTAAATTAACTACAAAACTAAAAATTGTCAACAAAAATGATTTTATTAGATAAAAAATTAACTCGAGCTGAATAAATTTTCGAAAGAACCCAAAATAAGATTAAAATTTTGTTAGAAATTGTGACGAACTAAGATCAAATAAAAATTTATACCGCATCGGCCGTTCACTCAATAATAACGCATAAAGTAAACTGCATTCCCGAAAATAACATTTTGGTGAATCATCGACGGTAATCGGCATTTAGATGCGTATTATATGTAAATTACGCAGATTTACGATAGCATCTTCAGTTCTCAGATAAAGTTAAAACAAATAAACCATTAAGCTTCGTGACAACGGATGACCATTAAGCGATAAGCTATCGATGAATTCCTTACCGTTGATCCTAAGGCAATAATCGGTGGTCGGACAATAAAGCATAGGTCCTGATACCGAGTATTGACAAATGACCGGGGGCACTCGTCTCGGTCATTACTCCCGAAGAATGCCAACTAATTTGGGCTTTCGTCTAACGGAATTCGATTAATTTCATCCGAAAATCTTTCGCCAATCACCGAACAGATAGCAAAAACCCGTTTACGATATTTTATAAATTGAATTTAACCGAATAAAATTACTGTAGATTCAAGCATTGACTACTAATAAATTACGTCTGTCGAAAAGCATTTAAAGATAGTTTAATCATTTGGACGGCAGTTTCGATGCGACTTTTAAACATCTAAATGCAGACTAATAAGTTGCGCGAGACGGACATTAAATTTTCCCATCTGGTCGTAAGAATCAATTTGAATTCTCGTGCACGAGTTGAATAATGCATGAAAAATTGTCGAATTTTTGAACGATTTATTTCGGCGACGAAATATTTATCTTTGGATCGACGGTTTTCTACGGCTAATGAAAAATATACGATAATTCGAAAGGAAATTTGCACGGAGAAAAATATTTCTATCTCCTAATAAACAAAGTTTTATTCGAAATGAATATTTTAAATATAAAATTATTGCCAACTAGTGCATAAATAGAATTTATTCCAGTATTACGACGAAATCCGAGGTAAAAATATTTAATATTGCAGAAATAATAGGCCATTAAACGATAGACACGATTGTTCGAAGAATTAGAAAGCTTAGGGACAATATCTATCAGACAGATACGAATAATTCGTAATTACAAATACAACAATGATTATATATTTCTCTTCCCATTGGATATACAGTATTTGGCTCATTCGAACGTATTAACAAATGTTAACGATTCGTTTCGAATAATCATTTTGAAAAAAAATGATAAAAATTCGTTTTAATATTTCAAAAATTAAATTAAAAAAATATTCTCACTTACATAAATTTCCTAAATAAATACATTAGAAGGAACTTTTTATGCTTATAAAAAGTTTTATGTAAGATGTGAAAAATATTTAAAATTCGTACGGAGAAAGGATATTTAATACCTACATCCATGTTATTCGCATATTACATAAGCTTCCCGCGGAGAGATAAAGATCTGTTATCTATTTAAACTAGAAGACGAAAGACTGCTTCGAGAATACTAAAGACGATCTATTTTATTTGCCACATTGATAAAATGTCGCTTACGAAATTTTCCGAGGGAAAAAACAGTACAATATCCAGATTATATTCTATGAAAACTTTTTACATTTTTCGGCCGGAAAAAATATTTTAAAAAGATTAATTGAAAGGTAATATAGAAGCGCGGCAGGTCGTTGACAGTCATCCTGTCCAAGCCTAAGGGAGAAAAGGTAGACAAGTAGGCATTTAGTATTTACATAAGATATTTGGCATCAAGGACAAAATATTTAATTGTATTCGTTCGAATTGAATGGTTTCGTTGTTTGACTTTACAAATGTGTTCGACATATTTTATGGACTTTTTTTCTATAAAATCAAACTTATGATAAATTACTCGAAAAACAGTTAAAAAGTCTTTCTAGGCGCATAATTAATAAAAACTGCATTGTTTTTAGGAAATAAAATTTAAATAGGTAGATTTATATTTAAAAGATGTTTATATTCATCTATCATATTAAATTTATTAAAAAATTCCTGGAGGCCTTACTGACACACTTAAGAGCATGTTTTGGCATTAGTTTATTCATCATATACAATTATCGAAGAATTTCCTTCTTATCAAAACCTCGTTACGGGTCATAAACTGACAAATCTTTACTTACGAAACCAGTACTTTCGAGAAAATATACGTATGATAATATATGGGTTAACATTAAATGTCCGACATAACGGTTAATTTAAACAGAAGCAAATACTAATAAATCATTTTTATAGCTTAAGCCGACATTTTTTGAATATCGTTTATTATAAATGAAAAATATGCCTATAAAATTTGTAAGAAAACATTTTCCGTGTTATTTTCGCAAATATAAATAGACTTTAATACTATATTAAATGTTTTTCGCAATTTTACAAAAGCTCTGCCATTCATTTAGTCTACGGCAGTATCTCGAAACGAAAAGTTAATAAATCTCGCAGCACGGGTAAAAAGTTTATTCGATAATTTAAAGGAACAAAAACCTACGTAACTAAATTTAGAAATTTTTTTCGTAAAGAATGATATATATCTGAACAAATTTTTATCCAACCCGCGCATGTGTTTTACTGTAAAAAATAACTGTTATTAAGGGATATTGTTACGTGAGGGATGATTTAACAATTCGAAGAGCTAACAATAGAAAGTTAAATTTAAAATACCGTATATAGCTATTATTTTGGGATACATTTCGGTAGGTGTATTTTTACCAAATTTGGAATCTCGTAAAATTAGACGACGACAAACAAAAAGCGGCTATATAACAATACAAAATATGATTCGAAAATGTAGTGCTCCACCTCTTCAACATTTGTGGCAAACAATCCATCAGAAAGATAGGACCCCACCTCCAAAATGTAAGTAGACAATAGAAGAGTCTTCCACCTACACTCGGACTCATCCGCCCACCAGTTGTTTCAGTGAGAATTAATTTACTCCTGGCTGCGAGGTTAATTGGTTACATTGAACGCCACGACGTGAAAAGCTCGTTGCTCGAAATATTTTTAATAACACCGTCTACTCAACAACCGTATCGGATCTGGTTTCGCATAGAAACGTCTTAAATTTGATCGATGCGGATAATAAACTCTAAGTGAATCAAAACTGCAAAACACTAACGACGACGTAAAGGCACCAAATATTCCGAACGGCAATTAAATCGCAATTAATTAATCATCTAGGGTATTGTTGTGCAAATAACCTAGTTTAGTGAGTTTTCATTCGAAAGAGGGGAATGACAGTTTAAGTTGATAAACAGCCAACAGACTGTCATTCGTTAGTAGAGACATTCCTCGTTCTCCTCTCACACCTGACCGATGGAATGGAAGTCATTCGTCTTATTTAGAAGACGTCACTTTCGCTTCAAACGTCACATTCTAATGAAGTCCATTCGTTTATCATTTTATTGTCAGCAAACTTGTCAGTCGAATCTAACAAGGAACTTGTTTGCGGGACAATAACGTATGAATCAGAAACTAAATCAAATAGTTATTCAACCAAAGACGAATGTCGTTATTTATTTACTTTTATTATTGCGATTTATTTGGACAAATCCAAAATGAGAGTCCAAAAATACATTAAAACTTTATTTAAAATTCCATTTCTGATAGTGGCGACAGTTTGTTCTTTATAATCGAGTCGTTCCGATCACTTTTACAGATAAATTTCAGATGGTAAAATATAAAAACTTGCAGACTGTTAGGCTAACGTAACTGTCTTATATATAATTTTTTCAACATTAAACTGAAAAAACGCAGAACCTTTTTAATTTTTTATTTCAATCATCAACTAAATCCGAGATTCCGCAGATATAAAACAAAGTTGGGTTCTGGGAGACGTCAAACCCACAGACGATGTCTGGAGTTGACATTCCGGGCCAAGAATATCTTAGCTGAAGGCGGAACAGGAAATAATTGACCGGCTTAGAATTAACAAGAAAAACGACCTTCCGCATTTAACGCGAATATAAATAAGAGCGGACAAGTAATGGATTGTCATTATGTAATATTCGTAACCGTAGCCCCCAGTCGCAATTCTTCTGTGTCCGAAGACGTGTTTTAGCGCCCTTATCAAATTGTTATTATTTAGAAAATGGTATTTTTAATTAACTCCGTAGTTAAGAATTTACCTATATTAGGTTTACCGAAATAACATTTAAAATAAAAAAGGGGGAAAAAACTGTTTTGTTAAAAATTCGTGAGAAGATAACATCGAGTATTTGAACACAATACAGATCAATAAACACAATCCATTCAAGAACAATGCACCTGCCTGACCTTTGACCTAAATAAGATAAAGGGGAAGCACTCGATGAAGCCGACTAATGACAGACGAGTTGCGTTATCATGCCGAGGTAAGATTTTACGTAAAGACTACGTGAGAAGAATATGGCCGTTTAGGTTGCGACCTATGACCGATAACAGAATGAAAGATCACTGCTTCTAAGAGAATTGTCAGAACAGATGTTAGCTTACATTTTATGAGAAAATCTACAAATTCGATCGGATAGAGGCAAGTAAAAGTTTCTTCGCTTATGACGAGTGTAATAAAAACGGAATCAAAATTGTCAATTTTCAAATTAACGGGGAATAATATTTCCAGTCATTAAAGAGAAGGCTGTAGTAGTCCAGTCGAACAACTATTA